GAAGAAGAAGAAGAAGATAGAGAATCTCCTTTGAAAATTTTTCCAAAGAATCAATTATAAGCTTAAATGCAGTCATACTGTAACCATATATGAATAAATATCACCTTCACAAATCCCTCCAAATATCCAAACATTTGTATTCAAGGACTATGACATAAACTTAATCAGGAAAATCCATTTAGTCACCCTGGTGTGTAAATATCAGATCTCATATAATTCAGACTTCTTGTTAGCTGTTCATAAAACCCTTATCCAGTTTATTCTGGCAATGAATATTTTTTATCAAGAAAATGTGGTGTACTTCCTGGGTCCCTCTTTTCAAACCTTGTCTGCCCTCCTCCTTTATTCTCGTCCCATCTGTGCTCATCCTCAGTGTCTAATGCACCTCAATTGTTCAGGAAACGAGAGAGATCAAGCATTACCATAAAAACTTGATGCTCCTCTTCTGCCAAATGTATAGCTTAGATCATTTGCAGATCTTAAATTTGAGGATATTCAAAAGAAAGGAGGGAGCTAAAGAAGAACAATATAAAAGAAGACCTAAATCAGATATAAATAGATCTACACTTTCACCTATTGAAATCTCATTAGGCAAAAGGCTGCATTGCTTAAAAGCCAACAACTTTTTACATCCCATATCGAATCTGACACATTACAAGCAATGCTTAACAACAAAATTAAGAAATAAAATACCATAATCCTTATGAATTGCCTCTTAAATACTGTGAAGCTAAGCAATTAAGACAAATCAAATACCAAACTCTTGTCAAACGGGAATTTTCATATACAAACCTACCAAATTTGCTTATGATCAACCTTTTCCACTTCTACTCCCACATCCAAGAAAAAGGAACTTTCATAGTGAATATCAAATTTGCAATTTTGGGTTTGCTTTATGGGTTACATTTGCAAACAAACTGAATCCTTCAAAGCCAAAGTGTTCTACTTTATAATAAAAAATTACAACTTGATCACAGTTATGGTAAATATCAATAAAAGGGTATCAGAAAAAAGAATGAAGAAATGAAATGATCTATGGAATAAAAACATAATTAGATAATAAGAATGAGCAAGTGGGAACTGGGATTTTGTTCTGTAAGAGAAGAAAAGTTTACCTGGAAAAGGAAACTGAGACTCTTCTGAACACCAACTAAACGCATGAGATGCTGGAAAATGCAAATTGGACAGAAGAATGGAGTTTATATATAAGACAATGTTGGCCTTTTTGATTGGTCAAAGTGTCACCTTTAAACATTATCACCTACCACCAAGACCAAGACTTTTCCACTTTTGTACTTATTGTATGGTTGCAGGTAGATCCTTTTTTTATATATAAAAAATATTTTAAATTTTTATATATCATAAAAAAGAAAAAAGGAAAAAAGAACACACCAACACAATTGACCATAGCCAGCTTTAACATTACTTTTTTAGTAATATATTCATGTGCAAAATGTAAATTATGTGATTGATTTTTTATAAAAGGTAAAAAAAAATGAAAATAAGGGATTAAGTAACATTGATATAAAATTAATAAGTTTGAAACTTTTGTTAATAAGCTTTTGTAAAAATAATATTTTAAAAATCCAACCATTAGATTTAATAATAGTTTAATATTTATTATACACAAAATTTTAAGTCAACCTCATATTTTTTAAATTTTACATTAATTAAGAATATCTTATAGAGTATAAAATTTTATATGCTTGGTCTGTATGTATAGAGTATAAAATATAATTAGATTGATCTGCAAGCTGAACTCGAGTCAAATTTTTTCTACTTGAACTTGGTCTGTAATATTATTATTATTATTAATAAATAATTATTTTATTTTATTTTAATTTTAAAATATATATTTAAAAACATTAAAATATTAATATAAAATACATTTTAAATATTGATTACATAAAGTATTGATTCTTCAAAAAGGAATGATAGAATTGATTTAAATTAAAAAAAATAAAAAAAAATCACATTTATATACGGTTTCATGCATCCGGAAGATTACCGGTGCTGACGTAAGGCAAGATTTTATGCTCGACGTTTGCTTTGGTCTAGAAGATTCGGGTCTCGAATAATTCTTAAACTCGACCCGACTCCATCCGATCCGACTCCCACATTCCCGGAACACCAACGCTTGTAAATTCAAAGGGGAACACAACCTGTGTCTCTGCTTTTGTCTTCTCTTCAAATAAAATCTCAGTTATTTCTATTTTTATTGTCTCGAAGAAATTCGATCCTAATTTAATCCTTAATATTCAGGTACGTTCTTTAATTTTTCTCCAACTATTTTTCTTATTTGTTTTTGAATTCAATGAATGCATTATCCGATTACTATAAAATGAAAAAACTGATTCGTAAAAAGAAAAATTTATGTTTGAAGTTTCCATTCCTTTCCTCCATTTTCCTTGTGAACCAAACACATATAATGTCATGAATCTTCACCATATTAACTCAAAAACACTTGACCCTTCATCTGGGTTTTTGTTGAATTTCTCTGAAATTACAATAAGAATACGACTTATTTAGAGCAACCATATAAATCTTCCTTAATCATGGCTAAGACGTTAGATTTTCAACACATGTTGTCATTTAATCTCCTTAGATTTATGTATGCATTTTTTTGGTAGATTTTTCGATAAAACTGTTAGAAAAAATGCAGAGTTTGCTTTTGAAAATTTTCCTTTCCTTTCCTTTCCTCCATTTTCCCACCCACCAAACACAAGTTATGTCATGAAGCTTCACCTTATCGATTGAAAAAGATCCTCTAATTTTCGTCTGGGTTTTATAAACTTTGTATGAAATTACATAAACTAGACATATTGCTAGAGACAACCCTTACGATTCTTCCTTAATCATTGCAAAACCTCGAATTTCAACAAATGTTGTGAACTTGATCTCATTTTTTATGTGTTTATTTGTTTGTAAATAGATGGATATTGATGCAATTATTGGGGAAACAATCTCCCGTTCTGTGAATATTCCAACAAAGAGTGCAATTTATGTGTGGGGATATAATTATAGTGGCCAGACTGGTCGGAAAGGGAAAGAGCAACAGCTGAGGATCCCTAAACAGCTACCTCCAGAGCTTTTTGGGTGTCCAGCTGGCGCTAATGCCCACTGGTTGGATATTGCTTGTGGCCGTGAGCATACTGCAGCTGTGGCCTCAGATGGGTCATTATTCACTTGGGGTTTGTTTCTATTACTCAAATGAGCTATCTTTTTCTCTTTTATTTTTTGTTATTTTTCAAGTTTGAAGATCATGTGTTTTCTTGTTATTTGTCTTGCCATTTTAGTTCTGTTGTTGATGGCTATAAGTTGTGGATGGTATTTGAGAATGTTATGTTTGTTGTATTGGTTGGTTAATTTCATCTGATTCTGTTGGTTTTGGTCCAATTGGTTACTTTTCACCTTGAGTTTGTTCCTTTCACATTTCCCTTTGTCATTAAAGTTTGAAGATAAAATGTGTATCATGGCTTTGCTGTGATTGTATTGATCTGCCATTGCCTTCTATTGTTGATGGCTGGCATTTTCCGAGGACCTTGACAGTGATGCATCTTTTTGTATTGTTTAGTTCCTGTGATGTGATTCGGTCATTTTTATGGTTTGAATTGTATTGTTGATAGATTAATTTGGTTGAAGCCCATCTCCTTGTTGATGAGAATTTATCTTTAGTGTGCATAGCCATACAGGGCATTCTGTCATTGATGTAGATTGTTTTGATAAGTGAATGCGTGAAGGTGGTGTGCTATTGTTGACAAATTGAAAGAAATAATTTTGTCTTTGCTAGGGGATGCGGCTTTTATTGTTGTTTTTGTCTGCTCATGTCGAAAAATAATAGAATCATATTTTGATGCATCTGGTCAGGTGCTAATGAGTTTGGTCAACTGGGAGATGGCACTGAGGAGGGGAGGAAATATCCTAAGAAAGTAAAGCAATTACAAACAGAGTTTGTGAAATATGTATCTTGTGGGGCACATTGCACTGCTGCTATTGCAGAGCCTCGGGAAAGTGATGGAACCATATCAACAAGTAGACTCTGGGTTTGGGGACAAAATCAGGTGGTGCAATTTATATCAATAGAATCATTGGTGCTTTTTAGTTTTTAACTGATATTAATTTCTCTTTCTAATTTCGTTTCCACATCTGACGACAGGGATCAAATTTACCTCATTTATTTTTGGGTGCCTTCACCCCTAATATGGTATTGTCCTCAACTCGTGATATTAATAAGTAATCAACTTGTTTAGCTAATTCCATAACTCAAAGCAAGTGGAAAATTGTTGTTAAGATTATTTGGGCCTATATTTTGTTACTTTTTATGATCCTTTCTTTTACTCTTGATGTTCCTATAAACGAATTTCAAGGCTCTTAAGAAAAAAATTTTTTTCTGTCAAAGACAAGGAAAAAGAACACAAAATGCACGGTTTCTTCCTAGCTAACCACTTTTAGACATTATTCTTCTCCTGCCTCAGTTTTTACTCAAAACCAAATTGGAGATTCCAGCCATCTGCTTCTTAAATGAATGTGGTGAGGATTGCTTTGCTTGGATATGACATGCCTAACGTGTAGGAGATTTTTGCAGTTTCAAAAATTCTCTAGTGTTTTAGCTATATCGACATGCCGCTATATCAACATGTTGTCTAGCTCATGACCTAGCAGAGAAATAAGCTGGCTGTTTCAGCCCATTTTCAGGCCAACAAGTTGTTGCTCTAGTCAATCTATTAATTAACCACAAATGGAGAAACACAACTTTGATACCAAACTTGTTTTCTGGCATTTGTATCTATGTATTATTATAACACATAGTTGCCTCTTTCAGATTGTAGAACTCTAAGTAGCTCTACTATAATATTGTGTCTCATCCCTACCCTGGTTGCACACACAAATGC